GCTGAAGATGGAACCCGGGCTGCACGCATGCCAGGCGAGCGCGCTACCGCTTGAGCCACATCCCCAGCCCCTGTTGGTGGTAGTATTGACATTTTGAGTTTTCCTTCTATGGATCATTCTTTCGGCACCAAATCTAAAAACTCTATTAATTCTAAATTCCTAAAAGTTTCTCCTATGCTTCTTTTCATAATTTTACATTTCAATTTTAAGTCAGTGATCTATTTTGAGTTAATCTTTGCACAAGGTGTGAGATTTAGGTTGAGGTTCAGTTTTTTACTTGTCCAATTGTTTCAATATCATTTGTTGAAAACAGATATTCTCCATCAAACTGCTTTCTCACTTATCTCAAAAATCAACAGAGTCTATTTGAATGGATCTGTTTCGACATTTTCTATTCTGTTATATTCATGTATGTGTCTGTTCTTCTGATGATACCACATAGTCTTGCTTACAATAAGTCTTAGCTTTTTCACTGCTGTGACCAAAAGACCCAACAAGAACAATTTTAGGAAGAAGAATTTATTTGGAGGCTCACAGTTTCATAGGTCTCCATCCGTAGATAGCTGGCTCCATTCCTCAGAGCTGAAGGGGAGGGAGATCATCATGGCAGAAGAGTGTGGAAGAGGAAAGCAGGTCAAGACAGGATCACCAAGAGGCAGAGAGAGAGCTCCTCTCAACAAGGCCAAAATAAGTACCCCAAAGGCTTGACCCCGGGGACCCACCTCCTTCAGCCACTCCCTGCCTGCCTATGGTTACCGCCGGTTAGTCCTTATCAGGGAATTAACACACTCTAGTAGGTTAAGACTCATAACCCAGACATTTCACCTCTCAGCTTTCTTGCAGTTGCCTCACACACGCGTTTTGGGGTGACACCTCACATCTAAACAATAACACTCTACCTCTACAATAAGCCTTCATTTGGGGTAGAATGATTCCTCTCTCTTCATTCTTTTTTTTTTCCCCCCTCAAGATTATTTTGGCTATTCTAGGGTTTATATCTCTCCCCACAAAATTTAAAATTAGGTTGTCTACGTGTATGACAAAACTTTGCTGGTATTTTGAAAGGAATTACCATAAGCTATAGATTAATTTAGAACAGACATCTTTACTATATTAAAATTTCAATTCTATGGCTCTGTGTCTCTCCACTCATCTAGATCATCTCTGATTTATTTCCTTTTGCAGGGAGCGGGGAGCAGCATTCTTTTATTTCTTTTCACACCATTTGTTGACTTTCCGCGCACACATTCTGAACTCATTTGGTTTCATGTTTGCCCAAATGTTTCAGTGTGGGGAGGATTCTCTCCACAGACAATCATGTCATCTGTAAATAGGAATGCCCACAATTGTTTTTTTGAGCCAATGGGAACATCCTAAAGGGAAGCACAGAGAAGTTGGGACTAAAGGGTACCACCACCTCATAGTTCTGGAAGATAAATGGAAGCAGAAGGGAAGGAAGTATAGCAGTTGCCCTCATCCAAAGGCCAAGAAAAAACTGTCAGACCACCCCTCCTTCCTCAGTATTGCTTTCTCCTGTGTGGAGCTGGTAACTACATCCCCAAATAAAATGCAGGTAACCTTTGACTCCCACTAGCCCCGTCAAGCCTGACTTTGTACACTCACCTCGATTTTGCAGACAAGGGAGTGCAGGCCAACTGTGAAATGAACCTTTTCCTCTACGTCAGCATACGACTTCTCCACGGTAAGGGCAGCCTCTACTATCAGAACCCAGGGTTTAAGAAGCTATGTTCATCTGAAGAGTTGTCTGATCTCTTGAGCTCTGGGGGTGACAGCAGAAAGCCAAGGACCAGGCAAGTCCCCAGAGTTGGTGGCGGTATCAAAAGCAGAAACAAAGCTCCCGACGTTTTTGAGTCTGCCACTCTAACCACCAGACCGCATTTCCTCCACGTGATTTCCACTCTGAACTCCACATGATTGTACCAGTGCTTCACTGTGTCTATGACACATGGCATGGGTTAAAGAGCTGGTGTCCAATGCTGTGCCTGAGAAGGCCTTTGCTTTCAATGATTGTTCCATTTGGACTGAAAGGTAATCTGAAGCACAATGGAACTGGGCTCAGGGCTGCATCCCCGAACCCAAGGGCAAGCAGGGCTCTGGAATTAGGAAGGAGAAATCCATACGACTCCGGCTGGTTCTCTCTTCTTCCAAGGCTCTACTTCAAACACTTCAGATACTTCACACACCTCTTTCTCTCTCTCCTTATCTCCTTCTCTCCTTCCCTTCCCTCTCTGTATTTCTCTCACAGTGTCTGCTGCTCTGGAATTCATGTGGTCACATCCATAGCCCCAGAAATACATATACTACCGACCAGTCAATGGAGAGGACTGGAGGACTGAATCCGTTCTTTGTCCGTGACACCTGGGAAGACATTCTGACTGGCCCCAGGAGACTGATGAGGGGTCTACCATGGGACTCAAACTTGAGGCCAGAGGAGTGAGAATATGTTATACAAGAAGACTCTGAAGAACTATTAAAGAGTAAACTGGGAAGAAAAATTCAGTAAGGTCTCTACAGACTAAACACTTGAATATTAATACTTCTTTCCATTATAAATTTGGAAATAGAAATTCCCTACCTATTGAGTCAGCTTGTTTATAAGGTAGCAAGGTTTGAGTTTTAGCATGTTGTCCAATTCTTCACACCGAAATTTGCAACCCAATACACTCGTTATGGTTTTACTTCTACATTAAAATTTTAATACTTGAAAAACAGAAAAATATTAAGTTTTTCATCAGCATGATTCAGGAAGTACAGACAGATTTAGTGCTCTGATAAAACTGGCACGTAAGAGAAATGAAGATTGTTGAAAATTTATCCTAAATCATGGATCTTAAGTCCTCTTCCCTGGATTGTGTGACCTAAAATAAATCATTTTGGTCCTTTATTACTTTATTTGTGAAATGGAAAAATCTATCTGGTTTATGTTTTAGTGTTTTTGTAAATACTTACAAAGGTTAGTATAAAATGTTAGTATAAAGCATATAAAAATGCTCTATAAACAATACTACGTATGGCTGTCTTGGGGCTCATTACTGAAAATAAAAATAAGAATCATATAAAGTATTTTATATTTATTTATTTTAACACAAGAAGAAAAACTAATTTATATAAATGATTGTAGTTATGCTTCTAAGACCCTCTTGAGATTATTTAGGGCAAAAAAATATGATCATCACTTTATTGGAGGCAAAATGAGAACCAAATAAAACAACTTGCCAAGTGTCACATAAATAGTCATGGAATAAGACCTTTTGGCAAGAAGAAGATATTAAAGAAATGAGTTTCAGAATCCTAGTCTGAGCTGCCGTCCTATTTATGTTCTTTAGAAGAGAGAGGTGTTTTTTTCTATATAAAATTCCCGGGAAATCACCACCATGCCAGGTGAAAGCGTGGACTTGAGGACTAGCCGTTGCACTTCTTGGCTGACCTTGTCCTGTTCTCTGCTAACAAATGGAAAGCACCTCTGTGCTAAGTCATCTGCACTTAGTGAGCACTCCATGTACTGATTCCAATATCCTTACTGCTCTCCACCCCTCTGGGAACTTTGAAAAAAATAAAAAAAAACCTGCAGCTCCTCGGATGTAATTAAGTGCTCCGAAGTCAAAATGGTCTCTTTGGTGCATTCCATTCTCCTCTGAATTGGTTCAGATATTCCCAAGAGGCAGGAAACGACAATGTTCCTCCCTAATGCCTAAATTTTATGGAGTCAGGAATTTGATTTCTGAAAGCACAAAAAGCCATTAGGTAAGAAAATGTTTTTGCCCGTATTCTTTGTAAAACGATGAACAGACTCATACAACAATTTTACAAATACTCTCTCAAAGCGATCCAAAACCTGCTAGTTTAATACGCCTAAAAAGGGAGACTGCTGCAACTTGCTGCTTGAAAGAGGATTTTCTGTAGATTGGTTCCATCGTGTTTGTCCTCAGTCATGGTAAGCAGCCCTTGTTTATTTTTCTTCTTCTAATAGCTGAAATAGCTCTGAGAAGGTCTGAAACTGGAAAAACCAAGCCATTTTATGGCAATGTCATCATTAAAAGCATCTGTCAATTAGAATGCCTCCTATAAAGAAAATGCCCAAAGAATCAGTCTGTATCCATTTATTATCAACACAGATATTCCAGATTTATTCGGCTGTATTAGTGTAATTGGAACAATATTGTGAAATACAGGTTTCCGATGAAAAAGGAATGAAAGCCTAGACAAATCACCCCAAATAACATATGGCCTTTTGCTAGGAAGATCAGAGAAAATTTGTATGCTGTTTGTTTTCCAGGGAGAGGGGCTTTTTGATATTAAACTGAAATCTAAAGTAAGGTACATTGATTTACAGGAAATTGTTCCTTTATACACAAATTCATCATTTACAAATGCCATTTTCAGGGGCCTCGACTGAAGGAAGACTTGTTTTTTGAAGTCAAGAATGCCATTAACTGTGCCTATATCTGTATATGAACGGTTTTTCCCAATTGAAGCATTCAAAGTTCACAAAAAAAATATAGTTATCTTAAATCATTTCAAATAAGCAACATCAAATTCAATCTTAGGGCTCACTTCCAGGGAAACCTGTATGCACATATATTTCACAGAAAAAGAAGGTGGCTGGTCCGGGCAGCGGGGGCATATAGGATGTAGCCAATTGGGAAGTGAGCGCCATTTTCCCAGAAAATGGTATTGGTTCTTTCTTTCTCAAACGAAGAAAGATTGATTGTATGTTCCCATCTCCTTCAATGTAAGGGCTTTGAAAATCCCCCAGAATTTTCCACTTGCCACTCTGAGCTTACAAACGGTCCTTTTATTGCCTAGCATATTTACTTGCAGGTCTTAAAATATCCATATGTCATGGAAGAGATGAGCCTTTGGTGACAGGTAGGAAGATGTGTCCAAAAACCACTTTTCCAGGGCTCTCTGTCTGAGTTCTTGATGGAAGGGTGATGCCTCCACTGGGGAGGATGAAAGGGGAGCACTGCCAGGCTAGACGGGGGCTCCCTCCAGGAGCCTCCACCTATCCAGCTCCCCCCACTTCCTTTCCCTTTCAGCTGAGATGAGATTGTAAAGGAGCAGGGATAGCTTTCCATTTCTGATTCTCCTCATCCAAGGCCTGATTGCTAAGAAAGTTTTTCTTCTTTCTGAAAAGGGCTCCAAGAAGGAAAATGTGTGGAGCAGACAAAGATGTTGGAGTATCTGCCCATCTGCACCGGATGTGCCTCCCTGCTGTGCCAACTTGGGAAGGTGGAATTATCAGTGTAGAAAGGCAAGGTGGCAGGAGGTGGGGGCAAGGGCTATTTTACTTCCTGCTGTGTCTTTCCACTTGGGTTTCAAATAAGAATATTCAATAAGCCATGTATGTGTGGTTCCCACAAGCCTGATGCCTCCCTAGAAGCCACAAATTCCTCCTGTGTGGCTGAGTGAGAAGCACTAGTTTTGAAAACTCCACAGAAGATGGTGGTGGCATTTCCTGATAGATGGTGCCAGTGACTTGGGTTCCATTTGCCTTTGCCTTGACTAGCTCTAATCATATGCTGAAATGCAGAGAACGCCTGCATCCGTCGTCCTCGATTCTGAAAGCATATTTTTCATTCCTATTGCCTTGAAAATAAGGTTTGATCTTGCATAGTTTCCAAATCGGTAATTTATTACGCTTTGCTCCCCTGGGCCATGGCTCAGCATGGGGGAATTAAGGTACTATCAGAGGCAGAGGAAGGCAGTATCAGTTCCTTTCCTTCGTTTAGAATCCGAAGAACACTGCCAACTCCACCAGACAGCGGCAAGAACAGGGGAGGCGTCTGCTCCCCCACCCACCCTGCTGACTCCCGAATATAACATCAGGCCTCTACGCCAAAGGCTTTGGCAGCCTTGAGAGAGCATCTCCTTTGCAGGCGAGTTGGATGGTTCTGATCCATGACTCATTGTGTTTTACTTGGTCCTCCCCAGAATCTCAGCCTATGTATTCTAAGACCAAGTTAAAAACTGCTAATTAAGATAGTGTCTGCAAGAAGCCACCAGCTAACCATTTTAGCTTAACTGTGTAATAATGCAAACAATCTATTTGGTTGGGGAGTGGGGAGGGGGTGCATTCTTTTTGGTTTAGTTTAGCTTTTGTGTTTTTGTTTTTTTCACTCTCACAAGGCAGTTTTTTTTTTAAATGGAATTTGCATATATTCTATATATTCTATTTCTTTACCCTTATTTTCACTTCTCTTTTCCCCTTCAGTTAGTGTCACCTTCCTTCCAAAGGCAGAGAAACACACATTTCTTTTCTAGTTGGTAACCTACTGCTGCCCCTGAAGGCCTCAGAGCACACTGACCTTGATCTAGAGAGATTTTTTTTTCATACTCACCCTTAGACCATATCATACTTTCAAGGCCTACCTTGCCCTTGGCTCTTCTTTCGGTTCTCAGTTTATTCGCTTTCTTATATTCTCTTCCCTTCTTCAGGGGGTGGAGCATTACAACTTGGGGATTTGCATTCTTTCATTTCAGGCCTCATATACTTTAATTCTCCATCTAACTGAGCTTAACTCTGGCCCAGAATGTCCTCAGATTACTCCATTTGTCCCTTCCAAACCTTTTTATCCATTATGCTATAAAGATACCCTAGGAGGTAAATTAGTTTCTATTTCTTTTCATTTCACAGATGGGGAGGCTGAAAGCAGAGAGAGATTAAGTGCAGAGTACCAAGCTAGAGGTAAGCAGTGATTCAAACTCTCAGTCATCTTCTCTAGCTGGGTCTCAGCACAGGGAGTCTGCCCTGTGTTCCCACTTTCCAAAATCACCACTGAGCACTGCCAATGATGTCTGACTTTCATATTCCCTGAGGGATCCTTGCCTTTGTAGACCAGATACATCCTCCTTTCTCACCTGAAGATGCTCTTTTCCAAAGCGCTGGGCATCCTCGTCCTCTCCTTCAATGCACACTAATATTCCAGGATCCCATTTGGCTCAGATAAGAACTGCTCTTTAATTGATTTGGGGTGGTTACTGTTTCACAATCCCTGACTTCCTGCCTCCCATCCCAGATCCCCAGGAGCCCCGAAAGAATATGATCACATCACTTCTGTATGCCGTATCTTCCTTTAACCTTCCTGCCAATCAAACACATATAATCCATTTTGAGTAATGACAGAAAATTCTAACTGTGGCGATTAACCACAGCTCATCAACAGCCTCAGGAACCTGCTGGAATTTTCCTCAGAAATCAATGCACTCAACTGTGATGTGCTGATTGAGATAATGAGCTGCTAGATGAAAATTAAGGAATAATAGAATGGATATCCTTTTTTTTTCTTCTTCTACTAAGAGAAAGAAAAGCAAAAAGAAAAAGAGAACGAGAGGAAGCTCAAGAACTAAAGTTCATTTTCTAACACAATTTACACTTAATTTCTCCCACCTAAATCTGATTAAGTTTACTGCTGTCTTGAACTTTTTGCAAATTTCCACCACTTGTGGCTTTCAGGCTGAAGAATATCTCCAGAATAATGGAACTTGAATTTGTCCATGGTTTTTTTTTTTGAGACTTAAATTCCACAGTGACAACAGCTTTGCTCTGAATCCCTGTTCCTCTTACCCCTCCTCTTTCAAAGGATCAACTTTAATATTGGCTTTCATTTGGCACTGGTACCCTGGATTGAGTATCTGAGCTCTGGTCACTGGCATGCAGACACAAACCACAATGCCTACTTGCCATTGTTCCCCTGAATTCCAGAAGCATCTGGCCACCTGGCTTGCTGCCCCGACTGAGTGGCCGCCCTTCTTTCTATGCATAGCATCCAGTGTGTGGAAACCAGTTCCCACAGCTCCATATCCTCACCCAGCCCCGACCCTTCAGCTCCCAGAGCAGGATGGAGCTGTGCTGAAAGACAAAGGCTGACCTGGAGATTTGATTCTTTGAAATAATAGCCCATCTCTTAAAGAGAGCAACTTAAGTGCAAATCTTAATGGTTTATTTTATTTTATTTTATTTTTTCGTTTTCAATCACACAATGAACTTCAATTATGAGATTATAAGATTGAAAAAGAGGCTTTGGAAAACAATATGTGCATTTTGTATGTGTGTGTGTGTGTGTGTGTGTGTGTGTGTGTGTGTGTGTGTGTGTGTTGTTCAGGTGGATGTAAATGGGAAGAAATAGTTCTGGTGTATATCTCAGAAAAATTATTTTGCAATCCAAATTGCTCACATTCGAGACTTTAAAGGCAGGCATGACAACACTCACCTAATCTAGTTGACCCTGCATCTTCTTTCCTGAATTGCCTTTCATCTTAATGAGAAACTTTATGTATAGGTCTATATTAAACTTTTATGGTGTTTATTGCACAGAAATAACTATACCACTCAAATATAAAATGCCTGTGTATATTCGTACATAATCAACAGCTTGAATTTATATATGTGTCATATATATACATATATATATTATCCACCAACAGCTTGAAACTAATTAAAAAGGAGGTATAAATTGATTAAACTTCACATGAAAAAAAATATTGCTTTTCAAATGTCATTTTAAAATTACATTTTCAATTACATGTCTATCAATATATTGAAAAGCTGTAAAAGAAAACATTCACATTTTTAGGCACATTTCCCTTTCTCTTCTAGTTTTCCGTCATTTTCTCCTGCTTTAGGGTTGATCTTCTGTGCCAGGGAAAGACCGTGCTGAAGGGAGAAGGCAGCCCAGGTGTAGGAAGAGAACTAAGTACAATGACAGGGCTCCTGGATTCAAATCCCTCCACTCTACCCCAGTGAGGGAAATAATCTTAATGCTCAGGGCCTCGTTTCCATTAACAAAAGAGCCTTTATGAAATTATGTATATGGAGATAAAACCAGCCAGCTCATAGCATTGTAAGACCTCCCGATTAAGATCCACAATCCCATCAATACTAAGATCTTTAACAATTTTTCACATTTTAATACCTCTGGATTTGCAAATTAGCTTGGAATGGATGATATATCATCTTTAATTGGAAGCACATTTTCATTCTTAATGGTACATGAAACAACGGTGTTTCTTACAATTAATGATATCTAAATTTGTTGCAATACAGTTTGTGTTAAAAGCATGTAGCTGGTTTATGGTTGCATTCAAACTTTATGTTTTCTTGTTAATACAAGATGAACCCTAGCCTGTTTTGACCAACTAAAGACATTCACAGAGTCAACAAGAACCAGGAGGGACTCAATAAGTAGGAAAAAATGTCTCTCTTTTCCTTAAAGAGCCTTCCCTTGGTTTTATGAACTGCTGTTACTGTCCCCAAATTCTCAATAATTTTTGAACGAGGGGTCCTGTGTGTTCATTTTACGCAGGCCTGGGAAAATTGTGTAGCACAGCCTGGTACAAATGTACTTGGCTAAAAAAAAAAAAAAAAAAATTTAAGTCTGTTGATTCTTCTTGCCTTCACCTTCTGGTCCCAGTGATGGAAGACCTTGAACATCTCAAAAGGAGTTCTGAACTTTGTGAGTACTTGAATCACAATTTCAAGCACATAGTGTTCTGTTTCCTGAGTTTGTATTGTCTCAATCTCGAGTCAGAGAGCAATTACACACTGACCTTCAAATTTTGAAGGTTAAAAAGGGATAACATATTTCAAAACCTTTGTCTTTTGAAATAAAGGTTCTTAGGAAAAGCCCTGTACTTTTATATATATATATATATAATTTGAGGGAGAAACTATGTTCTATTAGACAACATGAAGCTGTTTTTAAAGAATATGATTTAATATAGAGTTATTGTAAAAATCTGTTCTGCTTACATCTTTTGTCTGCACTCTATATCTGCATTTTTGTTGTTGTTGTTTTTATTGGGAACTAGTATTGTCCAAGCCTTTGGGCAATTTTCTTTGCTAAAACCAAAGTACACAAGAAACTGGAGCCTCTCCTTTGAAATCTATCACTTACAGTCAGATTTGATCCAGCAATAAATTATGAGTGTGATTCTCTAAAGTGCATACCTTAGACCCACAATTTCTGGATGACTCAAATGAACATGTTGGTAGAGTGAGATAAACAGACTTACTTAAAACACATTGAATTCGTAAAATCTTCAGAGGTAGGAACAGGCTGTCTTTTTTCCAAGCCTGCTTCAAAATCTGACATTTCTAAAAGCTTACCAGGTGTGATTGACCAGTCTGAGGCATTTAGGGAGCAAGAAGGTGCCTAAAGACTCTGGCGAAACTCGCTTGCTGGTATCAGAGGAAGGAAGATTCAACTAGTGGAACAAGACAAAAGTAATAGTGTTAAAAAGGGAAATAATAGGCGGAATTAAAAAGGGATTGGTGCACTGGACATACGAACACACAAGTCTGGTGGCTCCACTTCTTTTTCTCATGGACCTAGGGAAATGCATGCATGGAGGACAACAACCAAAGGACACTTCAGACCATGATGTAAAACTGAAATGAGTTAGGTGGGGGTGTTCATTTTGAAGATTTCCATGATCAAATCTACCTTATCCCCCAAATCTAAGCACAGTATGCATGCTATCAAGAGCTTAAATTCAGTGTTCTTAATGAATCATAAAATCAACCCAGAAGGCTAAGGAGGATGTTGTAAGATAAAGAAGAATTTAAAAATCAGGGTTTTTGGATTCCAGTTCTTCAACAATTTCACATTGATTCTTTGGATGACTATTATTGATCATGGTGTGGGGATCTCAAGATTGTGTATATTTGAGAAACTTCTCTCCCTCAAATCACATTCTTTTTTCTTTCTTTCTTTTTTTTTTTTTGGTACTAGGGGTTGAACATAGAATCATTCCACAAATGAGACACTTCTCCAGCCCTATTTTGTAATTCATTGAGAGGTCTCTCTGAGTTGCTTAGCGCCTCGCTCGTTGCTGAGGCTGACTTTGAACTTGAGATTCTCCTGTCTCAGCCTCCCAAGCCACTGAGATTAAGGCATGCGCAGCCAAATCACATTTCTTATGGGGGCCATTCTTTATAACTACATGTATTGCTAAAATTGTGAGTGTACACTTAGGCACAGCAGAGTCTAGTGTGTATGTCTAATTCCATGTGTGTTCTTTCTTCTCCAGGACAGGCGTAAGAGGACACGGCTGCCTTTTCCAAAAATGGCTCATATCAGTATTTTATTAACCTCCTCCTTTTTTTCTCCTTTCCAAGTTAGAATTCAGCCTAACTTCTCCTAAATGCAGGATCACAGCTTCAATCTTACAGGAACATCAGCCACCTGCATCTCCTTTTCTGACTGTGGAAGTTCTGGAAAAATCAGGGTGCAGGGGGTAAATTTGAGAGAAAGATATTGAGAATGAGAATCATTGAAAAAAATAGTTATCTTTATAATGTGGCCTCTATAATTGTATAAAAACAATTTGATAGTTTTAAAATGTAATAAATATTAGAGCACTTTACCACTTTCACTTTTAAGGCAAGAGGAAAAAAAATTGAGGGAGTCAATGATTTAGAAAAACTTTGATTAAATGCATCAAGCAACACTTTGTTTCAATTGTTCTCTGTCAGGAGCGATATTGCCCCCCACCCGACACCAGGGAACCTTTGGCAGTGTCTGGAGACAACTAGAGGTACTACTGACATCTACTGGATAGAGGCCACAGATGCTAAATATCCTATAATACTCAAGAAAACAATGAATAGTCTGGCCCCCAATGTCAATAGCACCATCATTGAGAGATCCTGTTCTATTTTATTCATAGAAAAACAAAAAAAGGACAGACTGACTGCTTTAGGAATTACTTTCATGATTCCCAAAACGGGTCACTTCAACTTCAGAGGGGTCCCCTGTTCGGTGCCTCATCTCATCAGTGCAGACAGACACCAAGGGTCCTACCTTCTTGATCCATCTCCTCCTCACTCACTCTGTCTTTTTAACTACACCGACTCCCGTAGGCTCTGTCTCCTCTGGTAATTGGACCAATTCTGCCCCCTGCCTACAATTTAAACAGCTGGAAGCTTGACTTTGACATGCAGAAATCAGGAGTCTTGAAGCTCAAGGAAGCAAAAGTCTGTGCAGATGCTTAAAAATAGCCTGGCTCTGAGAGTGTCAAGAGGTAGGCACTCTAATCATAAACATTAGGGAGTGTTCTAAAAATATTCCAAAGTAGAATCTGAAAATCTGACAGAAGGTCCTTGGTCGGTTTGATTTTACATGAAAATCAGAGTTGGAGGCCTTCAAGGTTATACTATTAATTTGTGGAAACTCTCAAGAACACTATCTTACCTTCCCATTTTGACTTTTAGCTGCCACTCCCACGCTGTTTTGGCTCTTCTATCAATTTATTTTATCATACTTCTACTTCTATTTTTTGCTTCCATATAAATGTAGGGAAATGACTTTAGTGGACATTCCTACTGTGAGTATTTGCATTTTTGAACATTATCTGAATGGCACCATGAATTCAAACAATTTGAAATCACAGAGTCTTGCAGGTAGCAATCAGAATAATTTCATATACAGACAGAAATTATTATGCTGAGCAGGAAACCATAGCAGTGCACTCTCAAACATAAAAGCAATCAGTCACAGGAGTGCAATAAGAAGGAAACATTTGCTTAAAACACAAAAAGAGAAAGATGTAGTTTAGAATTATATCGTTCCTATGGAACCATTTGTATTTTTTGTATGCAAATGTGATGGGTTTTAAATGTATGATATGGATATATACGTCTGCATACATTTACCCACATACATATGTTTTTCTTGAAACGTTTCGTGATTAGTCAATATTTATTTCTTATCAACAATTTTAAAATGTGCATTAGTGGGCATTATCAAATAAGTATCAAATAAGTAGTCTGAGGGATTTCAGAATCTCAAAATCCTCTCTGGGCTTTTTCAGAACACATTATATATTTCCACACTAAAATATTGTCTTTAAAGAAGACTTCTTTCTGTCATTCAAAAGGCAAAAGAGGATAAGTAATCCATTCTTTGATGACTGCTAAATCTTCCATAATCAAAGTCAACAATAAGTGAAGGAACACTGCCCAAAAGAAAAAGGAAATAAATAAGGTGAAAAGAAGAAACGGTGACAAAGGAGCTATGTCTACCAGGACCAATACAAAAGACAAGACCATGATATCAGAGGGTAAAAATTTTCATTATAGACTTTAAAATATCTGTCTTCTGTATTAGCTCCATTTTTACTTGCGAGGTGGGCAGGGCAGGTCGCTTCTTGGAGTCTTCACTTCCTCACCTACGATATAGACTAAGAAAATGTGGAAATGCAGAAGAGCCACACATGTAAGCTGATATTTGATAATACAGCTGGTAAAGGGGACTTTTCTGGCTGTGGCATCATATGCTTAAAGGACAACAGAACAGACCTGTGATGAAGTTCAGCCTCTTGGACCCCTCAGTAAAAACTGTGGTCAGTTTCCTGAGAATTTGTGCCAAAGGAGGGACTCCTGCCTCCTCTCTCCCCTCAGGACTCCAGAGCAGTCAGTTCATCTGCTAGAGATGAAGAAGGCCACCCAGACGGCGGAGCTCTGTCCTCTGGGCGTCTGCTCCAGCTTCTGGACTTCACAGGATGTGCACACTGCTGCAGGAACCATGGGAAGGAGAGCTGTTGTCATGATGGCTTCGATGGCCAAATCAAGGGATGAGGATAGAAATTAATACTGATTCTAAGATACAAACAATAGCCAGTATTTATTGACCATTTACCAAGTATCAGAACGAGGCTAAATTCTTCACGTTGATCTTCTCACTTAATGCTCACAACACATTTATAAGAAAACCTTTATTCAATTATTCCCATTTTATATGTAAAAAGTGAAATTAAGGAACTTGGTCAAGTTCATACAGTGAGGAAGACTTGGAGACAACATGAGAGAAGTTTTTTTGTTTTGTTTTTGTTTTGGGTTTTTTTTTTTTTTTTTTTTTGCAAAGTATGAAAATGCCTACATTTTGTCCTGAGATGGCATTTAGGAAGAGTTGAAAGGCAGAAGGAAAAAACAAGAAGGGAGAGAAGTTTGCAGAATACAGTTTAAGGTGTAAAGACACATGGGTCAGGTATAGAAGGGAAAAGAAGAGAAGCTCCAGCAATACTTCCCTGCTTTCTCTCATTCCATGCTTTCTCAGGAGTCAGATGATAGGTTACACTCTTTTTGACATTGGGAACGTGTCCGATGCTTTGATTAATTACTTGTCTGTTGATCATGTTTCTGTGAAGTTAAACTGTGTCCTGGGGGGGGGGTGAATGCAGTGTTTATCCCTCCAGCCCCTCTCTCCTCTTGCAGTGGAAGCTGTTCAACCCAAGAACAGAGTTTTAGCAGCCCCTGAAGAGGTGGGCGTGTCTTTGAGAAAACAAAATTTAGTGCATGCAGTGGCTGCGTCTGGTGGAAAAGTTAGTGTGAATCATCAAAGGGGCCCAGGACGTAGGGGAATCACCTGCTGCTCTAGCTGAGGACCAGCATCCCCAATCTCAGGGTAGCCAGACAGAAACGCATGTTCTGTCTCCTTTAATTTGTACATGGGTGTCCCTGGGGCACTTTCATCCTCCCTGGCATTCCTTCTGTCCCCTCTGTGAGAGTCACAGTGGTTGTGTTTTTGTTCCATTTTGAGCCCTCTTTAGGACCATCTACCACTGCAGCCTCAATTCCCTAAGGCTGCTTAAGCTTCTCATGTGCCTCAGGTACCCTCCATGGATGGTCTCTCCATGTCTCCAGGGCCACCGCTGACATCACCACCCCCCATCACTATCTTAGCCAGGTCCTGCAGGAGCCCCTTCCAACACCACCCCACCTGCTGTGCACTGTATGCCTCCCCCAAATTCATATGCTGAACCCTAACCTCTGTTGCAGTGGTACTTGGATGGTAGGTACATCCTGCTCAAGGTAGGATACGTCTCTCTCCTGGTGAGGCCTGTGTGTGCTCTCTTGATGATGTCAACTGCAATTTATCTTCTCAGAGAGTAAAAGGCACATCCATTTGGGTGGCAGTCTCTGGGAAGCAAAGCTGTGCAAAGTAAGAAAGGAAATCACAGATGGGGGGAACAGAGGACTCCAGGCTTCTGGTCAGCAGCCAGAAACTGCTAACCTTAGGACTTTGTTAGAGTCTGACTAGGGCCAGAGGGAGATGGTGCAGCTTGTCAAAAACCTGGGCTTTGAAGTGATCTGGAAAAAAATTCTCTAACAACCAAGAGGAAAGAATGCTTGCCTGGAACAAAGGATGAAATGGGACAGTAGACACACAGGCCCTGGCATGAAGCTCGTCATGGGCACCCTGTGGCTGGCTTGTGGTTCTTCACATGCCACCTTTGAATATGCACTAAACCTGTTTTAAAAGGACCTGCTTTGAATGTTCTCTCTGATCTATCTATCTATCTATATATATATATGCTAACCCACAACAAGGGAGGGGAAGAATAGAAGTTCATTGGACTAGACAAAGGGAAATGAAGGAAACAGAGGGGGGATGGGGAAAGGAAAGACAGTAGAATGAATCGGACCTCTCTTTCCCATCCTTACATATGGATGCACAACCACAAGAATGGGATCCTAATTAGAACAAGTCAGACTCATTCCCTGTATGTATAATATGTCAAAATAACTCTAGCATCGTGTATATTTAGAAAGAACAACAACAATAAATGAGCCCACCTTTAAGAGTAGCAAATAACAGGAGCACTGAAATATTGGGTCCACTCAGTGACTTGAGGAGGGCAGAGGAGATAGCGGTAAATATCCTAAAATAAGGAGAGTGGAGGGGACAGCTACACAAAGACAGGACAAGCAATCTGCTGAGACGCCTAAGAATGAGGAGCTGGCTTGTGCTGGGAAGGGCCCTGAGTCCCTAGGACATGCTCTGGGCCTCCCCATGTTTATGTGCTTTCTGGGACCTGGGTGCTTCCTGCTCCCTCCTCTGCCTTACCAAGTAGATTTCCTGTGCTGCCAAGGATCCGTTAGGAACAACAACAACAACAACAACAACAAAAAAAAAGCAAGTGAATCTCAAACTACCCTCTGCTCTATTGGCTAGCTGCTCTGCTAAAAGGGTTTCCTAAATCAGGAATACTGAGTGTTGGCCATTTTTGAAAAGCTATTTATAAACTTCCTTTATCAATGTTCTCCTGAACTCCATCTTTACATGTGGGGGAAAAAAATAGTCCAGTTAATTTTATTCCTTTGGACACAAAGCAGGATTTTAAATGACAGATTCACATTGTGCAGGGGTGGGCAGAGGGGTTCTCCAGAATGTGTAGCTTTTATGGACCAAACTGACTGAAGTTGAAGCACGTGAAATTTTAGTAACATGAAAATTGTCAGCATTAAAAAAAATAATAATAAAGCTCAGGCTCATATTATCTGTGCTTATTTGTGGTACGATATAATTTATTGTACTTTTGGCAAAGGTGCTGGCCTTGTGAATTGTCTTCGTTTCATTACAGAAGCTACACTGAGTCATGTGCTACCTTGGTGCAGAATTTTGTTTTCTGTTTTCATATTTATGAATCTGTCCTCCCGGAAAATATCAAGGTCAATTTCTGCCATTTGTGGCAAAATGCAGAAGGTTTAACTGAAGGTGATGTTGATTATGCATGCATCCAAATATAGATGATCTGGGTCTTCAATATTTATTTAAAAACCAAAAATGCTTAGATGGGAACACATATAAAAGCATAAAGTAAGCAAAACAAAGCAAAATGAGGGGGAAAAAATGAAATAAAATCTAAAATATGTTTTTTTAACCCTTAGTGTCATGCTGTTTGAGATCACAGAACTTGGGCTCTGTGGTGACTAGTTCTGGATTAAATATAAGAATCTAAAATGAAAATATGAAAGTAACAAGAAATAGCCAACAAATTAAGTTTTCAATCTAACTGGGATTTTTTTGGGGGGTGGGGGGGGAAGTACCAGAATTGAACCCAGAGGCACTTGACCACTGAGCCACATCCCCAGCCCTATTTTATATTTTATTTAGAGACAAGGTCTCACTGAGTTGCTTAGCACCTTGCTGTTGTTGAGGCTGGCTTTGAACTCACGATCCTCCTACCTCAGCCTCCGGAGCTGCTGGGATTACAGGTGTTTGCCACAGCACCCGGCCAAACTGAGATTTTCATTTAGTTGATGTTTTGCTCTTCTGGGGATATACTTTTTTATGTGAAAGAAAATAGTGAATCCAACTCCACATCTATTTTGAAATGAAACAAACAACAAAAAAAAATCAGAGAAAACGTCAGATTATAGATAATTTACAGAGCTCCTTTTTATGCAATTGGGTTATAATTCTGGGATATCAACCATTTCCTCAAACATCGAGGAACAAAGGATGAAGCACAGTAGGTAAAAATGGACAGAAAATATCAGTGGATGGTATTTACCAATTGTCTTGTTAATTTTACAGAAGCATCTTAGAGAGAGAATCTTCCAGTTAGAAATCAGATTCAGTAAAACCCAAAAGATGGAGGTAATCCAATCTACAGAGACTGAGGCCTCCTAACACACATGCCACAGAACAACTAATAGCAGGACATTGGAAGCCTATAGGAAATGGAGAACTTGAGAATTCAAAGGAGAACTGAACTGCAATTTGACTGCCTGCAAAATACAGACATTCTAAACATGCAAGGATTCAGAAGATTTAATGCCCCTACATCCTTTCATAGAGAATATTATCCACCAAAACAAGGAGATAAATCAAGAAATAGATTAAGGGAGCAGCAACTCCAACAATAGGACCAGGAAGGGAAATCCCTGGATGACCACATGGGTCCCTGGAGATCAGCATATCCAGATTAGGAAAGGAGGAAGAGGACCCTGGGCAGGAAGTTTCCAGGAAAAAGAGGAAAGTGATAGGTCATCAGACCCAATAAGAGCTGTTTTTTAAATGTGATTTATTTTGTGTGTGTCATTATTTTCCTTTTCTTTCTTTTTTTTGTATTATTATTTTTATTCTGATAATATATACATAGAATAAGATGTACTGTTCAGTGGCAATAAGCACATGGATATGGATACTGGTAGGTAACCATCAACGCTATCCATCTCCAGAAGCTTTGCACCTCTGCTAATTGAAACATTCTATCCATTGAACAATGACTCCCCATTCTACCTATCTTAAGACCAGGGCAATCACTGTTCTGTTTTCTGTTTCAATTATTATGAAAAATCTAGGTATCACATATAAGTGAAATCATACAATATTTGTCTATTGTGACTGGCTTAATTCACTGAGCATAATTGAGGTTCATGAGATTCATAAATGTAGCAGCACATGGCAGTATTTCCTTCCTTTTGAAGGCTGAATAATATTCTCTTATATGTACATCTATAATATAATGTACATGTTGTTTATTCATGCATCCATGAGGGAACACCTGGGTTGTTTGGTCATTGTGAATCATGTTGCCATGAACACCGGTGTACAAATATGAGTCCATGAATTCAATTGTTTAGGGTATATACCAGAAATGAAATTGATGGATCATTTGATAATTCCAAGTTTTAAGTTTTGAGAAATTACTATTACTGTTTTCTACAACTTTCAACCACTCTACATCCCCATGAGCAAAGTATAAGGATTCCCATTTGTTCACATAATTGCCAACACTTGTTATTTTCTGTCTTCTTGACAATAGCCAATCTAATGAATGTCAAGTGGTACTTTGTTGTGCTTTTGATTTGCATTTCTTAATGATTAGAGATGGTGACTATATTTTCATGCACTTATTGGCCATTTGTTTCTCTGTACAAATGTCTATTAAAGTCCTGTGCCCATGTTTTCATTGAGTCACTTTTTTATTGTTGAGTTGTATAAGTTCTTTTTATGTTTGAGATAAAAACCCCTTATCAGATACATTAATTGCAAATATTTCCTCCTATTTCTGTATACTGTATTTTGATGCACAAATATCTTTGAGTTCAAATAAAGTCCTGCTTATCTATTCTTTCATTCATTGACTCTGCTTTTGGTTTGATATTCAAGGAAGCATTACCATATCTAAAGTCATAAAACTTTTCCTCTAAGAGTTTTCTTCTAGGAGTTTTATAGTTTAGGTTTAGGTTTGAGTTTTTAATCCATTTTGAGTTGGTTTCTATACACAAGGTAAAAGTCCAACTTTATTCTTTTGTATATAAATATTCAGTTGTCAAAAATAACTAGATCATATATGTGAAGGTTTACTTTTGGGATTTCTACTGTTTTACACAGGTCTATATGTTTGTCTTTAGGTCAGTCTTCTGTTTGTCTTTATGTTTTGATTGCTATAGTGTTGCAGCAAATTTTGAAACAAGAAGTATGAGACTCCCAACTTTGTTCTTTTTAAGAATTGTTTGGGCTCTTCTGAGTTTCTTGAGATTCAATAAAAAATTTAGGATATATTTTTTTAATTTTTTCAAAAAAATAAAACCCTGCTAAGTTTGATATGGATTGCACTGAATCTGTAGATTACTTTGTGCATTTTTAATATTTTAACAATAATAAGTCTTCCAATGAACATGGGATGTATTTCCATTTATTCCTGTCTTCTTTAATTTCTGTCAGCAAATTGTTGTAATTTTTCATGTATACATTTTTTGCCTCCTTTGCTAAATTTATGTTAGTGTTGTTTTTTATGTTATCATAAATAGAATAGGTTTTTTATTAGTTGCTCAAAAACATTACAATGATCTTGATATATCATATATCATACATTTTATTCAAATGGGGTATGAAAATTTCAATTTGGACTTTTTATTGTCAGGGCATTGAAATGCAACTATTTTTGTTGTCTTTGTATTTTGTTGTCTTTGTATATTGCAACTTTGCTGAATTTATTAGTTTTTGTGGACTCTTTAGAGTTTTCTACATATAAAACCATATTACCTATGAATAGAGATAATTTGACTTCTTCTAATTTGGAAATGAATCCTCTTATTTCTTTTTCTCCTCTAACTTCTCTGGGCTAACTTCCAATATTATGTTGAATAGAAATAATGAAAGAACATGTTAGCCTGAGCTTAGAAAAAAGCTTTCATTTTTCTTTTTTAACAATTGAATAAGATGCTAGTTGTGGGTTTTTCATAGTCTTTATTTTGCTGACATTGTTTCCTTTTATTCCTTGCTTATTGAGCATTTTTATCATGAAAGAATATTGAATTTTTTCAAATACATTTTCTGCTTTAATCGAGATGATTATATGTTTTTTCCTCTCCATTCTGTTTTCATGGTGCGTTACTTTGGTTAATTTTTGTATATTGAACCATCCTTGTGCTTCAAGAATAAATTACAATTGGCTATTACATATGATTTTTTCATACATTATTGAATTAAGTTTGCTAGTATTCTGTTGAGAAAATTGTTCCATAGATTTTTTTTTTTTTGGTAGTATCTCCATGTGGTTTTGAATTCAAGGTAATGCTGGATTCAGAATAAATTATGAAGTATTCCCTCCTCTTCAATTTTCTTGGAAGAATCTGAAAAGGAGTAGTATTAATTCTTCTTTATAAGTTTAGTGGAACTTGTTAGGGAACCCATCTTCTAGATTTCATTGTCGGGAGGTTTTTTGGTTACTGATTTAATCTTCCTTACTAATTTAGGTCAATTTTATTTCTTCATGATTCAGTTTTGGTGGTTCATGTGGTTCTAGGGATTTGTTCATTTCACTGGGCTATCCAATTTGTTAACATATAATTTTTCATAATATTCTCTTATAATTCTTTTTGTTTTTATAAAATCAATAGCAATGTTTCCTCTTTCATTTCTTATTTCGTTATTTGAGTCTTATCTCCTTTTTTCTTAGTAAATCTGGCAAAAATTTTGTTAATTTTGTTGATCTTTTCAAAGATCCAACTCTTGTTTTCATTGATTTTCTCTGTTATTTTTATTTTGTTTATTTTATTTCCTTCTGCTTTCATCATGATGACTTCTTCTGCCAACATTGGGCTTCAGTTTCTTTTTCTATTTCTTTAAGGGGTAAAGTTAGGTTGTTGATTTGAGATCATTCCTCTTTTCAATGTTTTTACAGGTACAAATTTCTTTTTTTTGCCCTGTTTTTGCTGAAGCTCATAAGTTTTGATATAGTATATCTTAATTTTTACTGAAGATAGTTCCTAATTTTCCTTGAGATTTCTTCTTTGACTCATTCATTTGTTGTATAAAAATGTCTAATTTCCACATATTTGTGAATTTTCTAGATTTCCCACTGTGTCAATTGCTAGTTTCATTTCACTGTGGTCAGAAAAGATATTTTATATGATTTCAGTCTTTTCACATTTATTAAGATTTGTTGTGGAGCCTAACACATTGGCAACCCTGGTTAATATTGTATGTGAATCTGAGAAAAATCTGTATTACGTTCTGTTGCTAATGGGTACAGTGTTCTATAAATACCTTTAGGTCCAAGTGGTTGCTATTGTTTTTCAAGTTCAATAATTTCTTATTGATCTTTCACCTGGTGTTTGCATCCATCATTACAAGTGGAGTACTAAAGTCACCTTCTGTTTTTGTAGAGCCATCTATTCCTCTTCTAATTCTATCAATTGCTGGTTTGATGTATTTTAGAGTCAATTCTGTCAATGCTTGCTTGATATATTTTTGGAATCTTACATATTTGGGACATAAACGTTTTGTCATCACTGTTTTGTTTGTTTGAGATAGGGTCTTGCTATGTTGCTCAGACTATTCTCAAACTCCTGGTCATGTGATCCACCTGCCTCTTGAATAGCTAGGATTACATGTATAGTCTACAGTGATCAGCCTGGCACATACATAATTATAATTACTAATATCTTCGTGGTAAATTGGCCAATTTGTCATTATGTAATGTTTTTGTTTTCTTCTTGTAAAAGTTTTAGAGTATTTTGTCTGTTCACTCTACCATTGATCCACACTCTCAGTCCTTAACACTGCTTTCTTTTAGTTACTATTTGCCTGCAAAAACTTTTTATGTTTTCACATTTAGCCTACACGTATCTTTTTTCTTATAGATCCTACACATATCTTTACATCTAAAATGCAGACAGTATATAGGCATGTAGTTTAGTCTTTGTGTGTTTGCTTCTTCCATTCTACAATCTATGTCTTTAGATTAGGGAGTTTAATACATTTACATTTAATTAGTGATAGTGAAGGACTTATTTTTGCCATTTTGTTGTGTTTCTGCATGTGTTAGAGCTTTTTGTCTCTCATTTTCTCCATTACTGACTTCCTGTTTAATTTCTTTTGCAGTGACACATTTTGATTCTCTTTTCATTTCCTTTTGTGCATATTCTATATATTTTCTTTGTGGTTATGATCAGGATCACATATAACATCCTAAATTTATAATGATGTATAAGTTGACCCAAATTTAACTTCTCTGATGGCTAATTTTGTGTGTCAAACTGACTACACTACCAGGTACCCAGATTCAACATTGTTTTAGGGTGTGTTTCTAAATGTATTTCTGAATAAGATTAGAGTTTGAGCCTGTGACCTCAGCAAAGTAGATTGCCCTCTTCAATCTAAGGAAGAATCATTCAATCCATTGAGGGTCTGAATAGAAAAATAGGTGGAGGCAGAAGGATCATCTCTTTTTTTCTTTCTATTTACCAGCTTGCGCTGTGAGATCAATTTTTTCTTGCCCTTGGGCTTGAATTTGTACCTCTGATTCTCAGCCCTTTGGACTTGGACTGGAACGATTCCAGCTTACAGATGGCAGGTTGTGGCCTCCATAACAATGGGAGCCAATTTGTCATTATAAATCTCTTTTTATGAATATATACATATACATATATATATTCATATCTATCTATCTATCTATCTATCTCTATATATATATCAATCCCTAATATCTATCTCTCTATATAGCTAGATATCAATATATATCTACATATATATATCAATCCCAAATATCTATATCTATAGATATAGATATAGATATAGATATAGATAAATCCCTAATCTCCAATTGATTCTTTTTCTCTGGAGAACCCTAATTCAACTTTAATCACATACAAAAAGTTTATTCATTCATAGCTCTGCTAGTCTTATGTTATTGATTTTACTAATTACACAAATAAAATAAAAAGTGAAGTTATAAACCAAAATTACCATAATACTTTTTTTTAATCCATGTAAAGAATTTCCTATTTTTTTTTAGCTTCAAGGTATTTTCTAGTTTCTATTCATTTTAACCTAAAGGATTCCGTTAGTATTTCTTCTTGGATAAATCAAATAATAATGAAGTCCAGCAGATTTTTTTTGTTGTTGTTGGAGAGGGTTCATAAATGTCTTTTTTTTTTCATTTATTTTTGGAAGACAATTTTACTGTATGTAGAATTCTTGGTTGACAGAGTTTCCACCCCATCTTTGGTTTGTTCTGGATTTTTTAGCCCTTTGAATATATCATCTCACTGCCTTCCAATTCACAAGGTTTCTGCTGAGACATCTACCAGTTTCACTACCTTAGTGAGGCTCCCTTCTATATAACAAGTCACTCCACTCTCTGCTTTTCCTTACTCTGTCTCTAGAGTTTAACAATTTAATAATCATGTGTCTCAGTGTGGGTCTCTTTGTGTTTATCTTAATCAACATTTGTTAAGCTTTTTGGATTTGTATATCCATATATTTCTTCTAATTTGATAAGTTTTCAGACATTTCTTACTCATATAATCTCTCTGCCTTCCCTTCTCCTATAATTCTTATAATGCATGTATTGGTCTGTTAGATGGTTTTCTATAAATCCCTCAGGCTCTGTTCAATTTTATTTATTCTTTCTTTATTTTATTTTATTTTTGCTCCTCAAACTGGATACTTCAAACGACTTGTCTTCCTAATTGTTGATTACTTTTCCATCCTTTCCAAGTCTGCTTTTGAAACCCGCTAGTAAATTTTTCAATTCAGTTATTATGTATTTTCCCTCCAGAATTTCTGTTTGATTTTTTTAGAATAATTTCTTCTTCTTTTGGGTATTGTAATTTCATTTACATATTGTTTCCTTATTTCATTTAGTTCTTTGAGCACACTTGAGATTTTTTTTAAAGTATTCTGTTGCATATGTTTCTTCAAAAATTATTTCTAGAGATTTATTTTATCTTAATGACTGGGTTATGTTTTCTTATATGGCTTGTCATTCAAATTGGGCTTCTTTAAAAGAAAAGAAAACAAACAAACAAACAAACAACAAAAAAGACAGCTACTTTTTTCAGTCTCAGAGACCAACACAAAACACTTGCACAAATTTGTGACCCTGTGAGCCTTCAGAACCGCCTAAGGAAATGGCCTGAAGTGCTCTCATGTCTTTTCTGATCATGTGTATTGATTTGGTCCATGTGTGCTTTTTCTTTTCCCCTCCAATTTTCTCTAGATGCATTTAAATATCTTGATTTCTGAAGCAGTCACTTCCTAGCTTCTTGTGGCCTTAAACGTTCTATTACAGTGTCATGGCTATAACCTATTTTCTTCAGATGTCCACAGATCTTCATGCCCTCTGAAGTTTTCATGTGCACCTATTCTGTCTTTCCACAGCTTCTAGCTTGAGGTCCAAACTGTCCTACCATTCCTTAAGTCAAAAACTATCCTTCATTTAGAAGAAAAGATGCTCTTCCAGGTAAAAGTAAAATCATTTGCCATACAGTTAAACATGGTTGTTCGCAAAATATAATAAATGTTTTGAGAAACCATTTGCTTTGAAGTTCGGAGATTAGAATCAGGAAGGAAAACAAACTACAAAGACGAAAAAACTGGTGAGCTTCTTCAATTTATTTACTTTGGCTCAAAACAAAGTGGAAGATTTGGGGTTTTTATACCATCTTTCCACCCTCCCCCCCCAGAAAGTTGTATAACTTTCCAGTTACGTTTGATTGGCTTTCTTGAAATCTACTCTTTTTGTACTACTTTTCCTTTTTATTCATTATGTATTTATTATGGACTGAATGTTCATGTCCCCCCAAATTTGTATATTGAAACTCTGACCACTAATGTGATTGTATTTGGAGATAGGCCTTACAAAGATAATTAGGTTTAGACATTATCATGAGATTAGAGCCCCAGGATGAGTTTAGTGCCCTATAGGAAGAGATAGTAGGGAGCTTGTTCTTTCTCTAGACCCACAACCCTTACTTGCTGTGTGAGGAAAGACACAGAAGTCTACAAGTACAGGAAAAGAGCCCTCACCAGAACCTAGCTCTGCTGGCACTTTAAGCTAAGACTTTAAGCCTGCAGAACTGTGAGAAAAGAAATCTCTGTTGCTGAAGCCACCTAGTATATGGTATTTTGTTATGGCAGCCTGAGATGATTAAGACAGCATTTATTGAGCTCTTTCTATGTGCCTAGTACTGGGGTAAATGCTGAGAATGAAATTTAAAAAATAAGACATAGTTCTTCATTTTAAGAATCACAGATTCTAGGGCTGGGTCTGGGGCTCTGGAGTAGCGCACTTGCCTGGCATGTGTGAGGCACTGAATTCAATTCTCATCACCATGTAAAAATAAATAAAGGTCTATCAACAACTAAAAAATAGATAAATAAAAAAAAAGAATCACAGATTCTAGTTAGAGCAACTAACATATAAATCCGTAATTTCTGTACAAAATTATCAATGCTTCAGTAGACCAAGTCACTGATCACCAAGTGGGCAACACAGGCTTAAAATACAGTATCATCGAATGGATAGTTTTTATGTTTGGAAATGTACTGAGGCCCATTATAATTTAATGGGAGATGAATCAGTTCATGGATCCGCTGCTCTGCAATTTCTTCCCAGGTTGCCAATGAACTATGGGATAGTCAAACCTCTCCAGCCTTTTATCTTTAAGTTTCTCCATCTGTAAGTTGAGATGGTAACACTTTTCATGAACTTCTGTACAAGGTTAGATTAAAAAAGGGCATACTGCTCAAAAAGAGATGGGGAGAAACAAGTAGAAAGATTTGTGTTTCATTAAGATGAAAAGATTACATGGGATCAATTACTAACATACAGGCTACTTCTCTAACTCAGTGCTTCTCAGACAGTGATGGCCATAAAAGTCATGTGGCAATTTGTAGGAATGCAGGTTTAGATTCAGGAAGCTCTTATCCCCATCGCGTTCCTTTCTAACAAGCTCCCAGACATGCTGACACTCCTAATTGTTGGACTATATGATGAGAGGCAAGATTTGTAGTGATTTGAGACCCTATTGTTAGTTTAGATAACAATGTTCATATTTTCTAAAATATTTTACTTACCAAAGCCACCAAAGCGTCACTTAAGATGGTAGTTCTCAGAGTTTTTCATCTCAGAACACTTTTTACAATCTTTAAAAAACTATTCTGGAAGCCAAAGAGCTTATATTTAGTTGTATTTACTACATTTGAAATGAAAACCAAGAGAATTTGAAAATACAAAGATATCTGCCTACATCTGATTATCTGTCAGAATGATTAAAGTCCTTTCACATCCTCTAGCCTCCGGAAAACTGCACTCAACAGTCAGAAGAGTCTAAGAATAAAAAAGCAAGCAGTGGCTTTACTATGATAAATTATTTTGACCTCTGAGACCTGGTAAAAGGAACTGCTTAGGATATTCTTCTTTCAGTGCACATAACTGTACCATTAATTCTACATAAATCAGTGAACAACTTACTACTTAACTCACTCAAAAATGATTTCATTTGAAATCTAATATATACAAACCAGCATGTTAGGTCTCCAAGCCCTTACATTAAAAGCACACGGTTGCCTGGTACAGTGGCACACATCTGTAATCCCAGTGGCTCAAGAGGCTGAGGCAGGAGGATCTTGAGCGCAAAGCCAGTCTCAGCAACATCAAGGCACTAAGCAACTCTGTGAGAAAAAAAAAAAAGAAAGCATATGGTTAAATCTGTTGTTCTCAACTCTGGGAACTTCTGAAATTTGAACCTCATCCAAACCAATTAAACCAGTATATCTGGAAATTAGTTAAAACTTAACTAGTGATTCCAATGTGCAGCCAGGATTGAAACCCATTGGGTTAAGGAATCAGGATATAAACTAGAGAAGCCCAGAGTCGAAGACAGTGTGCACAGAGGGTCGGCATTGCTTAGTGGCTTGATGAACTACGTTAGAATCTTGGTACTAACACTAGTCATGTGACCATATACAATATAGTATCTTATCCTCTCTTGCCTTCAATTTCCTTAGCGGCAAATTGGAGTAGTAATGGTCTGTTTTCATAGTGTTGTTCTGAGGATTCAGGGAGGTCAGGAATGGAAATCACATGGTAAATATTTATCAAATATTAACATCATTAATAGAGATATTAAGCACTGCAGAGTCTTACCAGGTAAAATGTGAATTAAGAAAGTCTTTGGGGACGGGAGGTACAGTGGAAATATTTTATATGTACCTCAAAGAAAGACAGAATTAATCTGAAGGCAATTGCAACTCTTAGTATCACCTCAGCACAAATTGGCTTAACACAGTTCAGGGTGTGATTGAATAGGTTGTGTTTGTATTTAAGTTTGTTTCTTTAATCCCTGTTGGAGAAAAGGACCTAAACTAGTAGATTTGGCTGTACAGAAAGAATTTTTGGCTACTGTCAATGAGTTCTAAAAGGGTTTATTGATCTCCAACACTAGAGCTTTCTCCCCTGAATCCATGACAGACCAGCCTGGCTATACTGCATAAACAGTTCCATTTACTGCTAGTATGCAAACATTACTTTGGCATTAACATAGAAAATGTGAATCAGAAGGTGCTATTCAAAAATAAAGTATTTGGAAAAGAAGTAAAGCCACCACAGAGTTAATCTGTCTATAAAGTCAGAGAAAAGAGGCATAAATAGAATAGATGATATCTCAGCATCAAGTAATAACCTGAATATATGGAAATAACCTGGGTAATTTGGTTGGTATAGAAATATTCAAGAATTCTTCCAAATTGATTATTCCCACCGACCAAAGTATTTAAATAATTTTTATAAATCTTTAACTGTGTTGAGTAGATTATGCTCAAAATGTATATAAAACAAAAAGGTAAGGCATGGGCTAGGGTTGTGGCTCGGGTAGAGTACTTGCCTAGCATGTGTGAGGCACTGTGTTCAAGTCTCAACACTGCATATAAATAAATAAAATAAAGGTCCATTGACAACAAATAATTTTTAAAAAAAGGTAAGACATAATAAAAATGGTAAAGAGCAGAAATTAACAGAGCATATACTTGCTCAATCAGACCCAGTGTCAGTGATAAACGTGGTTCCTCTGTGCTCATATGTACACAGTAACCATCAGCTCTGGGGTAAACATGATCTCTTCTCCATTTTTTCACACCACTATTTTATGAAAATGGACTTTTCAAAATGTCTCACCTAAAATTTCAATGATCCCAGTTTTTGTTGCAGAGATATCTGAGACAAAAGTTATTAATGTCAATGGTCTGTGTTTTAAAACCATCATTTATAATACTCCTGGCATAGTAGAAAGATAGTGGGAAAACAAGGAGAGAAGTAGTAATGCAAGCTCCATCTGTGGCAAAAATAGGGGGTATTTTTTGTTTGTTTTTCAGAAGAGTTGAAAAGGCCAGTGAAGATTGAGGTTATAGGGCTCAGAGTTTCAAATCTCAGAGAAACAGCAGAATATAGTTCTCCAACATTTAATAAAACCCACAATCTCTTGTGTGAAACAACATGCATGGGTGCCCTTGGTAGCTTTGGGAGGCATGGATTTAAGATTAAATAAGGAGCCAGTATTGTGACACACACATGTAATTCCAGCAATTTAGGCACCTGAGGCAGGAGGATTGCAAGTTTGAGGCCAGTCTGGGCAACTTAGTACCAGGAGATAAAATACTGAGTTTAGTTAGAAAGGGAGATAGAAGGTTTTGGTATCTCATCACATACACACAAGCTTGAATATTAAGAATATTTGCCATCCTGAAACATGGCGCTGATACCTCATCCACACAGACCTGTTACAAGTGACTGATCCAAAAGTAATTTGTTTCCTTCCAGAAATACCACAAGGGAGGAAGGGAAGGATGGAAACAGAAATTTTAAATAGGACAGGAATCACTTGCACCCGAGGGGGGACATATGTTGCAGTTAACAACTGGACACTTTGATCAAATATATATTTATATATTTAATTTCAATTATAAATTTTAAATCTTTAACAATCAACCACTTTCCTAAATTAAGAACATCTAGCAGAAATGAAAGAGCTCAGGAAAATTATGCTGACACAATAAGGAGATATATGTGTGTGTGTGTGTGTGTGTGTGTGTGTGTGTGTGTGTGTGTATAATTTCCATGCATTTCCTCTAATTTAAGAAGTTTTCAGCCATTATATCTTCAAATAATATCTCTACCCCTCCTACTTTTATTTCTATAATTCTTATAATATATGTATTAGTCTGCTAGACGGTGTTCCTTAAGTCCCGTAAGCTCTGCTCACTTTTCTTTATTTTCTCTTTTTCCGTCTCAAAACAGATAATCTCAAGTGCCTTGGTTTCACTATTTATCCTCTTGTATCTTTTGAATATTTAACACATATTAAGACACATGTACATATTGTTAGCTATTTTTCAATAATGCATTTTTAAACCAACAACTACATGTGTGGACATTTCAATCATACTCAGTGGGGGTAATGTTATCTCTACCAACTGAAGTAAGCAACTTTTGTGAAAACACAAAGGAGAACAGTAGAGTGTAAGAGAAAAGGAAAGAGTGACAGAGGAAAGAATTTTCAGTAAATGGATCTTTAGGGCATGCTTTCCTTTAGGTCATCTCATCCTTTAATAATCCACTAAACTTCAAGTCATTTAGAAAGACACAAACATTTAAGATGAGAACATCAATAATAACAGTGACAGCTAACACTTAATTGGTGCTTATCATATGCCAGATACTGTTCTCAGTGCTTTATACACATTTATAGTTACTTAGCCCTCACAGCAACCCTCTATGCCATATGTGTATGTTATAATTTGCATTATTCTGGAATTTCCCTTTGCTCATAACTCACTGTGTTTCTATCAAATGAAGAGCTACAGAAAAGGGCAGATGACAAAGCCATCTGGCCACATTTCTATAAGCCAGACCTCTGGGCAGTTTTCCAAGACATAATCACCTCCCACCACTGGAAAAACTCCAGAAGCACAGGGTCCTGCACAGGTCACAAGATGATGATGATGGTCCATGGGGTAGCCCAACCAAAGCAAATACCAACATTCAAAAGACAATGTTGCTGATGGTGCAATTTCCTGCTTTGAATGTTTCACATTCCTGAGCTTTCAGAGAGAGGGCTGAAATGAAGATTTATCTAGGACTATGGACTGATTACCCTCTGGGAGGGATAATTAGGCTATTGGTAGTTATCACCAATTATTTTATAGTGATGACAGTTGTGACATGGGGAAACTTTAAGCATGGCAGTTTGAGAAGATTTCATGCCAAAATACCCTTTTCCACGCTTCTCTCCTAAGTGCCCGAAATTCCACAGAAAGCATGGCTATATATTATTAAATGTTATATACATATTATAATATTTATTATTACCCAGAAAGCATCAAGATGTATATACTATGCCCCTTTTTAACTCTCTTCCCCCATGCAAGATTATCTAATCTGAGGGTTCCCATCTGTAAAATAGCGCTACTGACTCTCATTGCAGAAGCTTGTTGTGTGTGTGTGCGCGCGCGTGCAC